ATGGTAAAGCAAGCCAAGTTAACATTGATTCAAAAATTTAGAATTTTTCTTGCTTCTGAGGAATTTCCAGTTTTCCCTCCTTGGAATTTTTCATTCAGTGGTCCATTGTTCGGTATTTAACATTTTGCAATGATGAGTCTGACAGTGACAGTTAGTGACAATGGTTGACAGAAGTAAAAAATACAGTTAACCATCCTAATGCTTGCTTTACATCTTTATGTCACTTAAGTGATTTTGCAGAAACTTACTACCAAACCAAATGAGATAATCAAAATTGAAAAAAATATTTACTTATACAGGGTGCGCCAGAACTCGCGCCATAGAAAAAAATTTCAAGTAAGATAAGATACCAGGAACATGGAAAAAATGTTTAAAAAATTCTATCTGTCAAAAAATTTTGACACATATTTTTTGATATTTGACATTTTTTATGTCTATTTAATGATACTGATGATCTTGTATATGTTTTTTTAAAATTATTTAGTAAAGGTACAAAAATTTTGCCAATAAAAGCCAACAAATAATATTGAACAGAGTTACAATTTAGGATACAGCTTCCTAGTTTCCTCTTTTAATAGCCTATAGCAAAAAAACTTGGAAAATTATTTTTCCAACAGAAATAAATAGAGTCAAAGTGCCAACTTTAAACCCTCATAACTTCGAAATTTTTATAGATAAAATTTTTTAACATTGTTTCCATGTTCCTGGTATCTTACCTTATATGGCATTTTTCTCTGGGGCGCGAGTTCTGGCGCACCCCTGTAATTCATTCATCGTATTTTGCAATTTGTTTTTTTTTTTAATTGGACAAACTAATTTTTTTTTATTTTCGTTTTGTATTTTTTTAAATCATGTTGAATGAATTAAAATTTTTGGTAAATACGTAATTAAAAAAACTAATAGGGCTAAAATAATTAATTACATATTGCTTTACTACAAGTGGTCCAAATATTTAAATAGATCTGCATGAGAAGAAACATTTTGCAAGAATTTAATTTATGTAATAATACGAAATTGATAAATTCTGAAAGTGTTATAAAGGCTAAAAAAGTAAGAAAAATGTTTGCTTTCATTGGGGCAACTGCATAAAATTTTGAAAAAACTGAAGCCAAAAACAATTTAAATGTTGTTGCAGTTTTTTTTCTCCATATAAATACGGAATGCGCCAGAAATCGCGCCCCAGAGAAAAATGCCATATAAGGTAAGGTTCCAAGAACATGGAAAAATATTTAAAAAAATTTATCTATAAAAAATTTCCAGTTATGACAGTTTAAATTTTGCACTTTGAGTCTTCGACTCTATTTATTTCTGTTGTAAAAATAATTTTCAAAGTTTTTTTGCTGCAGGCTATTAGAAGAGGAAACAAGGAAGCTGTATCCTAAATTGTAACTCTGTTCAATATTATTTGTTGGCTTTTATTGGCAAAATTTTTGTACCTTTACTAGATAATTATAAAAAAAACGTATACAAGATCATCAGTATCATCAGATAGACATAAAAAGAAATGTCAACTGTCAAAAAATAAATGTCAAATTTTTTTGACATTTGACATTTTTAAACATTTTCCCATGTTCCTTGATCTTATCTTACTTAAAATTTTTCTCTGGGGCGCGAGTTCTGGCGCACGCTGTATATTGAGAACTGTTTACATATTTGCTTTTTTTTCAGAAATAAGCAGGTAAGTAGGAAAAATTTAAAAGGCACCAAGTTATTCTTGACAATAAAATAGGTACTACTGTGAGATGCATTCACAAAATTTCTGTATATTTCTTCAGAACTTTAAAGCAAACAGTGGAGAGTCTTTATACTATAAAAATGTGAAACTATTCAACGCTACATTTTTTGATGCATTCTAATTTTTTTATTTTGTAAAATCCGATTTACCAACGCATATACACGGTAGCAAGTAAAACTATAGGATTTTTAGAGCATTTTTTTTTAATTAAACTCTACTGTCCTTATTTAAAAAAAGGCGTGTGAGGGTGTCAAAAGGTATAAAGTGGTAATAATAAAAAATACATTTCGCCAATGTTCCCATCTGTTTACGATGCCGATTCGATATGAAAATAACAATTAACTAAATGACATAATAATCTGTGAGAGCCAGTCATCTTTTGGCTGGGAATCTAACAGTTGCTCTGGCACTGCCCGAACTTTTGTGCAATGATACATGTCTCCCTCACACTATAATGTCCGCCCTTGGGTTGTTTTCGCGACAATAATCCCTCTCCGACTCACAATATCAATAATTACGCCCTAATTATCGTTACAAGAATCATAACCGATGTTTGTCAACACGTCCCTTGAATAGATTTATGATTTAACGCTCATTGGACACGACGATGTCAACATGAAACTGCGAGTTTAGCAAAGCATCGTTTCTCACGCCCCCGACACCTACCCAACTTTTTAAGTGGCTAAATTAACRCAAATTCGSGAAATTCGCTCGAATCGTACACATACAGTGTTTGAAATGTTACGTCACCACCAGATGTTCCTGCATGCAMTGTGTGCAGGAGCGACCTGGTGATGCTCGTAATGTCCTGCATTTAAATGCCGGTCACGATGGACCGTATGATCTCATCTCCACTCATTTCATTGGCGCCCGCAAGGAAATCTCGATTATAATCGTATTTAGAAAGATTGCAGGACGGGCTTAAATCCTCGCTTACTGCAGGAAACGCAAGATTGCAGGAAGAACGAATTATTGCCCAGTTTCATAGGCTTTCTAATCGTAAACGTGGACAAACATCAATTATTATCTCATGCGATCAAAGTGGCCTGTGACTGTGTAATTCATAATGTGATTTTTGTCGTTAAGTAGACCACAAATTTAAAATCTTATCTTGGCAACAATGACTATCAAATACAAACGTCACAATTTTATAGGCAATATATCACATGCTAGATAAATTACTAATAATTCAGTGTTGCCAATAAATTTTTCTTRTCACAATTATCCCTACTTTATTCAATAATGCCAACTAAATTTTCAAAGACACATCCTACTAGTCGAGAAAAATATTACTTTAGGGGTTATTTTGTAAGAAATAATGTCTATTAACCATGATGTAGGAAGTATGTATTTATAACATGTCATTGATGCCTCAGCACTTGCCAGTCTGCGTTGTTCTTCCTGCGGACAGGAAGTATCAATTTCAATTAACTCCCGCGCTATAAATCAAGTGGTAAATAAAGAAGCAGGCGCTGGAAATAAAAACAAATGCCGTCAATTGAGGTGGCGCCTGTCTTATTGTCAAACGCTGCCCCCTATCAGTGACGTCATCGTGTCTGTAGTAAAAACGAAGAGATTTGATTATATTCGGTCATCTATTTTTTTCAACTTCTGTCGTATTTATGCATGATTGAAATTGAAATAGTAGCTATAGAGAAAAATTAGAACGGGTAATATGAAAAAATATACAGTGGAGGAATTTTTCGTGGATATTATAGAGTTGCGTGCGAAGAATCGATCCGGGTGCAGGTGTTTAGGTCATCTATCGTGTCCTCTGACATGGGATTACATTTCTTTCCACCCCTAACACCCCTAAACGCATATTAAAACCCTTCTATGTCCAGATACGGTCCAATACTGATTTTTGATAAATCATTTTTGCAATAAAATCGACAAAATTCTTATCACTTTGCACTGCAAAATAACAAAACAGAAATCAATAACAATTAAAAAATAGAATATTTTCACATTTTTATTGATTATGTAAAAGATTAGAAAATATGATGTTTTTCGTGAAATAAATTGTTTATTAGTTGAAAAAATCGAGTGGTTTAAAAGTGGGATACCTAAAAAAAAGAAAGATCTAATGAAGCAATCGCGAGAGCTATTGTAAAACCTTGTTAACGGTGTAGCTGTATATTTTCTATGAGCCATAAACAAGAAAGCAGAGAGGAATCGTGAAATCTTGGAGCTGAGGTTTATCCGTGATGGTGTGAACTCACAGATGCTGTTTTCTTAGGTCGTCTTAGGTCGAGTTTCAAGCCATACGCACTCTCAGACCAACTGTGGCAGATTTATTGTTGTTTCTCTTGTGTCTTACAAGATAATACCTTCATGATAAATTTCAGATGTGTTATTAGGAACCTTAGATTAACATCCTATGAAGGATATGTTAGACCCTGAATTAAGGACCAGATTCAAGTGGTGTTTACCGAAACCATGAGTTGATTTAAACAAGAGGGCAAGTTTTGTCAAATGTATTATAATGTATTTTGTGTTGTATTTTATTTTTATAATTATAAGATTTATTTATCATCTTACATAATTTAGCCTTTACCTCAATTTATTTTGACTGCTAGACAACCAGTAATACAACTTTGAAAACAGTTAATTGTATACAAGGTGTTTCACACAACTTTCGAGGCTTGCGCCTAATGTACGCACCCAAATATACAAAATTCACAAAACACTAGATACAAAAATACACATTTAATAATTTAGTTTTTGGAAACCCATGACAGTAGTTGTCAAAATAATGACTGTTTCATTAATAGTCATAAACTGCAGTTTTTCAGAAACAATTATCATTTGTTCTATCAAGAGACGGCATGAATATGATTCTAGTTTATCTATCTTCTATCTTATTCACTAACTAACTCAAAACGTTGCAATTTTTTAAAGGGTAAACAAATTAGAGAAGATAATTCAATTTTTCAAAATATGTAATCGAGTTCGTATCGGAATATGTATTATTGATTGCACTTTACAGGCGCAAGCCTCATAAAATTATGTGAACCACYCTGTATAATAATTTTTAATTAAATGTTTTTTTACAACAATTAAAAATAAAACTTGCATTTGAGACATTTTCCAGCATGTTATTCATAAAAAATACTGAATGTTTGGACATCTTTTCGCAATATTACAAACTAATAATAATTAATAGAAATCTTTTTATAAAAGTTTAATACTTAACAGAAATCTTTTTTTTTTTAATTTTACAGATTTCTGTAACAGAAATTGACATTTCTTTAACCAAATTTAAACAAATAATTTGACAGAACATTGTTATTATTTGATTCATTGTTTATTTCGATATCATTCAATATCCGAAATAACCACACAAAGAACAATGGACCGATCGTTCTTTAAACATTGAACGCAATAAGCAAATCTGCCAGTGATAAGAAATCTACGGGTGTTTACAAGTGAAATTTTTACAATACTCATACAATTATCTATTGTAATTTATTTATATTAGTGAATATGAAGTTTCTTATATTATTTTGCATTATCTGTGATTTTTTTGTAACAATTTTTGGTTATAAACCAGTGTTTCTGCTTCACGGAATCATGACAGGCAGTGCTAGTATGGAAATTATTAAAGGTCGAATTGAGGAAGTAAGTTTCTTTTTTTCATTGTGCAGAAATAATTAATATTACTTCAGCAACATCCGGGAACGATAATTTATAACACTGACCGTTTTTCTGGATGGTCAAGTCTGGAAAACATGTGGTATCAAGTTCAGCAACTTGGCCAAGATCTCTTAAATGTTTCAAGTCAACATCCTGAGGGAATTCACTTATTAGGTGTGTTTTATTTGCATAGAAAAAAATTGTAACAATTAGTTTTATAGGTTATTCACAAGGAGCTCTACTTTCTAGAACAATTCTACAAACATTTAACAATCACAACGTCCACAATTTTATTTCACTTAGTGGTCCTCAAGCCGGTCAGTATGGAAGTACGACTGTCTGACATTTTTAGGGAAATTATTTATTAATGAAAATAATTTTAGCAAATTTTTTACACCTCATTTTCCCAGACTTGGCACTTAAATCGGCTTTTGAATTATTCTACTCTAGAGTAGGCCAACACACCTCAGTCGGAAATTATTGGAATGATCCTTACCATCAAACTCTTTACAAAGAATATTCACAGTATTTGCCATTCGTGAATAATGAAATTATTTCAAACAAGAGTGAGGAGTTCAAGAAGGGAATAACTAAACTTAACACAATGGTCTTAATTGGCGGGCCTGATGACAACGTGATAACTCCTTGGGAGTCGAGGTTTGTTTTTAATTTTTGTGAAATTAATAAATTATTATAAATTCTTTCAGCCAATTTGGATATTTTGGAGAAAATAATACAGTAGTCAATTTAATTGACCGTGATATTTACAAAGATGATCTTATTGGTCTGAAGACGTTAGATAAGGCTGGAAAATTAAAAATCATCACTGTTCCAGGTGTTAACCATTTTATGTGGCACCTCAATACCTCAATTGTTGATAATTATATTTTACCTTACCTTGATTAAGTTAAGAAAACTCCAAATTGTAGCCAAAAAATTGATATTGATACCAAAAATGTCATTGCTGATTATAGATTTAATAAAATGGAAAATAGTGTTTAGTTTGTTTTTTTGGCGCCCCTTTTTAAATTGAATTTTATGCCAACATCAAAAATTTAAATTCACCAAAACCCCGAAACGCTTTTTTTGTTTGACATTTGACGATTTTTCTTTTCTCCGGCTTTACACAAAATTTATCCGAAAAATCGTAAAAAAGTCATCGTTGTACTATAATATTCCAATTTGTGTTGATTTAATGTATAGTTTTTGAGTGATTTTAATAATTTGGGACAAAACACACGTAAGCTATTAATTCATGATAATCTTGTCAATTGAAACGGTTTTTTGAGGCGAAAAATTCTCGACTTTCGTGTCTCTCATATTCCCTTCACCTTGTTTTTTATGTCTTTTTCACCGTTATTTAGTTGCAGAACATGAATTCGCCGCCGCTAGCCCCACAAGACGACGTGATCCAAAACATGTACGTAAATATTCAAATTTGAGGTTATGTTTCTGGGAATTACTAATTTTCCAGTAATTACACGGGTTCTGATACGGAATATTCCGCAAAAATTGTGGGCCATGAAGTAACAGTTCAATGTAACTCAGGACAGCATAATCACGGGAGTTCTAAAGTGAAACTAATCAACCGGATTGACTACAACTGGGAGTTTCACTATTATCGCGGACAACTCGTCGCTGTTCACATTAATGGCAAAATTATTGCCTATGGAATGAAGGGAAAAGATGGGGGCATGATCCGAGTTACGAACCAAGAGACAAATGAGAGAGCATTAATCAAAAATTTGAAAAATGATGTCAAAGACCTGTCTTTTGCTTTTTCACGCCAACAGATTATTTTAGGTTGTATTGACGACGAAGGCAATGTTTTCATCTATGAAATTATTGATGAACCTAGTGCAATAAAGTATCCTTACATTATAAAAAAAGCAAAAACATGTTATTAAACTCCTTAACCAGTTATTAGATATAAACAATTACTTCACATATTCCACAGTGATGTAGTCCCACATTCAAGCCCAAATTTTAGAATTATTTGGTGTCCCTACTTGACCTGTTTTGATGAGGAAGAGGAAACACCAGATGATCCTGAAAAAATGTTTGTAGTATTGAACTGGGATAAAGGTAATTTAATTTAATTATATCCAACCACCCTAATTGTAATTTTCCAAGCTGAAATATGGAATTTTGGCATGATTAATGCAAAGTATGGGCCAGGTCCTTTAGAACCTAATGAAAACTATGAAGGATATGTTGAAATTAACCACACTGCAGAACTCGTAGATGCGTCATTTTCATCAGACGGAACTGCTATTGCAATTGCTTGCTTAGACGGTTATGTGAAATTTTTCCAAGTACAACATATCACAATTTAATTCATTGTTACTAATTAAGAATTTTTTAGATTTACATGGTTGACAACGAAAAGCAAAAGTGCCTACACGAATGGAGACCACATGATGGTAAACCACTATCTTCCATCATCTTTGTTGACAATTTGTTGGAATGCAGTTCACAGTAAGCCAAAATTTTGATTTTTATAAAAATGCATTTATTTGTGTAACGTTGTGGAGACTGAAGTTTTAAAAATCAGCAACAGCAAGAAATGGATAGTTTAGATATAAAAAATTGTCTAGGGTTGGAATAAAATAAATAAAATATTTTGGTGTCATTCTTCAGGTGTTGGAAATTCACAATAACGGGTGCCAATCACAACTCCGAGCTRAAGTTGTGGTCTTGTGAAACGTGGACTTGTCTCCAAAMAATCCATTTCAAACCAGATCCAACGAATCTAATTCAAAGTGTTTATCTCAAAATGAATATAGACTATTCAGGCCAGTATTTAATAATGTCAGATTTAAATAATAAGGTTTTATACGTCCTCCAATTAAAAAGAAGTGACGAAGCTCAACAAATATCTGTAACAATGATATCGCAATTTTTACTACCAACTGCCTTTTTGAGCTTTCACATAACCGAAGCCAACTGTCGCAAACTACGTTCGTCCGACATGAGCGAAGAGTTTTCACAAGATGCCGATCAAGATGACGATGACGAAGACGATACGGTTGCAGCTGTGGTTATCAAAATGTTGGTGATACAGCAAAAAAAATTCCAAGAGTGTAATATCGTGTTTCAACCAGACGCGATGTTGTGTAATACTGAGATCATATTTAACGAAGTTAAGGAGGAAACGGAGAAAGTGCCAAAATTGGACGATCTTCAGTCGTCTGTCACTTTACTAATAAAACAACAGCAACAACAACAGCAATTGACCTTAATGACTCCTGACGCTTTTACAACAGCGGAACAAAACTCTCGACCTAATAGTGTCAGAACTAGCATCAATGGAGATATTAATAAGTCGACAGAGGGCACAAATGGTGACACCGTTGAAAATTTAATTGATTTTCAAAGACCTGAGAAAGATAATTTTGCAAGTGGGGGTTCGAGTCCTAGTAGAGAAGTTCAGGAAATTCTATCTTTAAATAATTCCACTTACAGTACTCAGGACTATTTTGACAATCTATCGAAAATGCAGGAAGAGCAGGAAATACCCCAGAAAGAGTACAAACATAATGAGAATCTGATGTACCAAGAAAACCCCAATCCTGAAATGGTTTGGCTGAAACTACCTCTAGTTAAGCAAGATAATGAGATAAATAAGGAAGATAACTTAAGACTAGGAGGAGGAGATGAGATAACAAATTTGAACGAAACAGATTGGGACAAAAACCAGTTACAAGCAATCAATTTCAGACTGACTAGCATCGAAAACGCAATTACTGGCCAAAATGTAGTTATTCAAAAAATCCATCAAGAACTCAAATCGTTAAATCAGACTAAACAAGGTTTGACCGAAGACTTTAACAAGGAGTTGGATCTAGCGATGTCTAAGCAACAATTGCAAATCGCGAAAATGTTAGAAAATTTGGTCAACATGCAAAAGAATAGCGACCGTGACCAACAAGACCACGTGATAGCCAGCGTCTCACAAATTGTCGTTAAAAATGTCTCAGATAAATTGCAAAGTATAGTAGCACATGAAATGAAACATGTGGTTGAACCAACCATTAGAAATCTAGTTGAAGCCCTAAAACATCAATTGGATGTTCAAAATAGCCATAAATTAAACAGCGATATAGTCCTACAAGACAAGATCTCGAAAATGATCAATAGCAAAGTAGGTAATTTTTGTGACATTATTTTTTGTTAACTTGGCTTTTAAGGCGTTAGCGGAGTCGCTAAGTTTATCAGTGGCCAACGTGATAACGCCTATTTTAGAAAAATGTTATCGCGATATGATCACGTCGACGCTGGTTCCTTCTTGGGAGAAAGTCTGCGGAAATATGTTCCATCAAATTAACGAAACTTTCACACAAGGGACTAAAGAATGTAAATTTATAATTTTTGATCATTTCTTGAGTTGAATAATATTATTTTAGATACCGCTTCGGTTGAGCATTATATGGAAAGACAACGACGGGTTCAAGAGAGAGGTAAAGATTTGATTGTCCAAATGCAAGCCGTTTCAGAAAACTTGCAAATGAATACTGATAAGTTAGTCGGGACTTTGTCGTCTGAAATTCATAAACAGTTCAATACAACAATGAAACAGTAAGTTGTGTTAAGAGAAAAAAATGTGTGTGTTTATTTTCAATTCTAGTACGCAAGAGAATTTATTACAGAGTATGAAGGACGTAATTAGCGAACAAATTAAGTTAGGTTTCAAGAGTCACGCTTCATTTTTGGAAGACAGTGTCATTAACGCAGTGCGGTCTCGAGCTGTGACTCCTTCACCACATGTTGAATCACAAGTACGTTTTAAGTATCCGTATTTTTCCTCAAAAGGTAGACGCTATTAGTTTTTTTTTTTTCTAAAGCATTGCACAGAAGGTTATTTTTGTTAATTGTATCTAACTAGTTTAAATAAAAGTTTATTTGGGTTTATAGGATATTTAATTCTCCCTTTTTTGTTTCATGTTTTTTGTGTAGAGCAGGTCGATAATGATGTTATTTTTTGTTCACTTATACCATGTTAATTTGTAGGTTACTTTGGCACATCTTGATCATCTTCTGGCTAAAGAAAGTTACGATGAAGCATTCCAATTGGCGCTGTCGGCGGAAAATTTGAATTATGTAATTTATGTGTGTGAGAAAGTGGATAGCAATATTCTTTTCCATGGGCCTTCACCACCGCCACAGAACTGTATTTTAGCCCTTATACAACAATTGAGTATGGAATTACACAAAAATACCGAAACTAAATTGAGGTACATATTTCGCAGCATTTTTATCACTTATTAATGTTTGTTTTTATAGCTATATAAGAGCTGCTTTGGTCGCACTAATTCCGGGATACCCGCACACCAGGCAGTTTATTCCCAAGGTTTTAAAAGATTTGCTGAAACAATTACAACTTTTTATGACCACAAACCCCACCTCGAAGTTTATTACTGAAGCAAAACTACTTAAAATGGCTGTAGAAAGTATACTGGACAAATAGCTAGAAGTTTTGGTTTTATCCCCACATGTTATTGTATATTTTAAACCGACTTATCAAAATTTATTTTGAAAGTATTTTAACCATTGTATCGTCATTACTGTGAATAGCCAAGTTGCTATATTTAATAGGTTGTGTATATTTTTTCGACATAAACTCCCCTAATGCAGTAGAAATGTTTTATTTATATTACCCGGACCCTAATATTTTTGAAACCGATCCTGTGCAGCGCTAATGACAGCCGGAAAATATGGCAAAATTAAAGTCCCTACAATATTTAGGTTATGTTGTGTCATGAAAAAAAGTAAAACATAAATTTAAAATCAATCAAAATGCAGAAAAAGCCGAGAAGTAGCCTTTTAGTTGAAAGACTCCACAAAGGTTTCGTTTGTACTTGCATAGTCGTAACAGTTTACGCAACATCGGTCCTCGCAATGAGGGGCTATCGATACCTTGCCAAAGAAAAACCAGAATTACAGCAAAAGCAATTATTGGAACACAAAAGTCTACTAGAAGAGGGGTCACCGGACAAAGCCCCCACCATACGAGCTTAATTGTTGATGTATTGTATAATTGTCTTTTAGGACTGTTTTTAGTCAGAAACTGCTTAGTTATGTACATTACTGTAAAATAATACATGTTTTAGAATATTAAATGTGAGGAAAACTCTGAAGCAACTTTTTGTTGAAGTTTTGTATATAGAAACAATGAAAACTGCGAATTGTATACTTGCATTGCAAGAAATGTGGATGTGTAAGAGCTTCCTTGTGTCTTGATTATGATAAATGGGTATATATTTTGTAATAAACAAATATATTTCATTCTTGATTTATTTTTGAAGATGATTAATTAAATTATTGGATAAAATTGATACGACTTAATATTTTAATCATAAAGTTAGGTATATCTGAAAAGTACGGAAGAGTGATAAAATATATTTTCGCAATATTTATTGTTTTTGTTAATTCATTAATTAAGAATTGCAATCTGTTATCATAAGTGATACAGAATTTTAAAACTGTTGCATTTCCTGGTTTAAATCCCCCCATCGAGCTCGTTACGTAATAAAAGCAAAATTCACATGATTGTTTGTTATTTATTTCACATGAAAAGAAAAACTGCAATATCTTACAACTGTTATGCGTTTTGAGCCAGCTGTTTCGAATTTTGACTCACCTGGTATATTAAAAACTGGTAAGACGTACCTTTCGACCGTCCCTCGTAGATTCAAAATGGTGGCTCACGTAGGAGATAGTTTTTGCAAGAGGTTTATTTTATATTCATAGATTTTGTAACAAAAATCAAGCCAAAAGTATGAGTTCCCGAAGGTAAGCCTTTAGTTATCCCGAATGTTAAACAGAACCCACAAAGTTGCCTCAACAGTAATCGCCAATCAAAAATTTCTTTGTTGGAGTATGTGAGAGCTGTCAAAAAGTCTTATTTACACAGCAACAGTGGGAAATTGTTTATTTTTTTTATTGTTGAATAAAGATTTTTCAAGGCCTACAGGGTAGGATGCCTTTCGTTGATAAAAACGGTTTAATTGCAGATGGTTTTGGCCCACAATCAGTGGGATAGAGGCTGAGAGAGTATTAATGGAAAGAGGAGTTGATTGCAGTTTCTTGGCAAGACCTAGTTCAAATAATCCAGGATCGTTCACGTTATCAGTCAAGTAAGTCTTCTGTGCTTTTGTGCCCCCACGTTACACGTGTCCGCAGGAGAAATGGAGAGGTTACCCACATCAAAATTCAAAATTCTGGAGACTTCTATGACCTGTATGGCGGCGAGAAATTTGCAACACTCTCAGAGCTGGTACAGTATTATATGGAAAATCAGGGACAACTTAGGGAGAAGAATGGGGAAATTATCGAACTTAAGTATCCCTTGAGCTGCGCTGACCCCACAACTGAGAGGTGAGTCTCAGTGAATAGATTATCTTGTCCCATGGCCATTTTGCATAATTACATCATTGTACAGAAAATTCGAAACCAAATGATGGTTTTTATTGTTTGCAAGTTATGCAACACAACTACCACCAGAAAATTTTGCATATGCTGCAATGGAAAAATTCTCAATAAAGCGTTTTCCTTATTCTGCGCAATTTTCCACCATAAATATTTATTCTCAAACAACAGTAGATTTTAAAACACCATTAATACTATAAATTAATTAAAGATGTCAAAACGTTAAAAGATTTTGAAGGGTCATTTCTTAGATCAATATGAGAAAAAAAAGTTCCTCTGAACCCACGAGTATGTCCGAAAATGCTTTCTGAGGTGTTAAAGCGACTATTTCCCTCACAAAATTGAAGTCAATCAAATCTTCCAAATTTCTGAGATTCATCGAGTCAGATTCAAATTACGCGATAATTCAGCACATGTTCAAATTATCGATGATTTACTCGTGTGCTAAATTTCCGCGAATCTGCTTGGATGAATCTCAGAAATTCTAAAAATTTAATTGACATTTTTTTCCACATTTTTTTTAATTTAATGAAAATATTGTTTTTGTAAATTTTGATCGGGAAATAGTCTGCAAAATACGCCTCGTGCATACCAAATTGATTCCAATTTTTCTTGTGCACTTCATGCGGTCTTACATAAAAAAAACTCACTGCATGATGGATTGCTTTTTGGTTTAAGAAAATCCCGTTTTTAAATAAAACAAGAGACTTTTTGTAAAAAAAAAGTCATCAAATACGAATCTAAAGGAAACATTTTTGAAAAACGTTTTGTCAAGCAAAATTTTTTGCCTTCAATAGATCACCCCCTCACCCACTAAATTAAGGTACACAATTTTAGCTAACACTAATACACTCAACGCCAAAAATTAGTCCGGATGCAATTTTTTAAAAAAATTTTCCAATTTCGTTTAGAAGCAGCCTTACTAATTTAGAGAAACGCGAATATTTTATAAATTCTATTTTATTTATTTATGTATTGTTTTTTTTTTAAGGATTTTGTATTAGCATTTTTTTATATTTCATGAGTATTGAAAATACATTTTTTGTCTTTTTGTGCTTTTTGTTTTTGAAACACTTTGCTTCAATTTGAGCGAAATTCTAACTTGGTTTTGAAAATTTGTTGGCATTGTCTTCGCCTTCTTCCATATCAAGCTAGAAAGCGGCCTAGCCTGCAGGTGCAAGTGTCACAAGATTGCAACAGAAAATAAAAGTCGCCTGAATATTTTTCTCACACCATTGATGACGCTCTGTTTTCTTTTTTTCTTTGATATGTATCAGTGCGATACTATTATGTTGGCATAATTAATGATTAAGTAGACCTTCATGAAACCGCGTAATATTGWCAATGCAACGTGTGATTCTGTCACCTGCATAGAATAATAATCTTTACCATCTCACATATTGTATATGTCGAACGTCACGTCTTTTTCTGCTTTAGGACATCGAGACAATCATTCTTCATATCCTGTTACTGCACACTTCTTAAKAATGAAGTCTCTTAGTCACACTTTAATATTGCTATAAATTATTCGATTGTTAATGTCCGCGTTGGAAAAGGAAGGAAGTGGTAATTAATTAATATACCAAATGTATTCGAGATTCTTTTGCGTAGTAGGGATGAAAAAGCGGTGATGACTTATATGCAAAATGTTTGTAAGAAAGAAACTCATTGGAAACACTATAATTTGATTTCCAATTTGACAGAATTCACCTACGTGCCAATATATAATGGGTTTTAGGCACGTGTATCTCTCGATTCCTTTTTGGAAAAGTCGTGTAGGTTTTATTTATCATAAATGTAATTGATTCATAATTTTACTGGAAATCGTATTTATTTCTCAAACGGTAAATTAATACACATTATAAAAAATCATTAAATCATTACTTTATTGGTAATAAAGAATTAATAAATCTATGTACCGCCTTTAATTTAATGCAGATTATCTGGTATTTAACCTTGACAACTAGTTTTTGTAATAATTTTACATTGTACAGTTTTAAATTTATTATTTTATGGAAAAACAGAAATTATATAATACTTAATGAAATGGGGAAATTTTTGAACCACACTGATTGTAGACCATTAATTAAATATGTGAAACAGCAAACTGTACTAAATGTTTTAATTAAGGACATATTTTAATAGGATTTGGATTTATTATAAGTGACTAACGCAACAAAATGTATGTTAGAAAGCTTTATCGGTGCAATATATTGAATAAATTGTTTATACATGATTTTGAATTGTTACGTTATTTACTTTATTGGCCTCATAACCATAATTGCAATGTATTTTTAGTTTTAATCTATGTATTGACGTATAAAAGCATCACCTACTCAACAACAAAACACAGTATTTTTTAATGGCCCAATAATTTTTTTTTTTTTTCATTTTAATTAAATATACAAATTGGATGGGTCTATAAGAATTTTTATGCTGAAGTATCTTTTGTAAACATATTGTGGAAAAATATTTGTTAGTTATTAGTAAAAAGGAGTTTAACATTATTGTTAATAATTTTGTAAATTGGTTTGGTAGTTTCCGTTCATTTAAAGAAAAATTTTTTCAGTCATACAGTATGTGATAAACTTTGTTAAAAAATATGTTAATATAAAAAAAATTGGTAAAACTTTTTAATCAGAATAATCAGTATCCTCTTTAAAAAATAACTCAATGTTTTTATTTGGTTCTGATCTTCATTGGAGTCAAGAGAAAACTTGACATCTCTCTAATCAAAATCAACTTTTATCATGATCTTGTTGTTCATAAAGACGTTTTTACCAATGTTAAGATGTTTTTGCAAAATAATTTACTTTTCAAGGTCATAGTTCGCCTCTTCTACGTTGATTTATTAACATACTCTTACTAACAAGATTTAAACATAATAACAATTGTCAATAGTAAAGTCTGGAAAATATTACATGCAAGAAAGGGTATATAGTAAATACCACAACCATGTTTGGGTACGTTATCTTGTGAATCACACACTCGGTATGCATTAAACAAATTACAGTTAAAAACCATCCCAAAAGAATCATTTAAAGATTGAAAATTATCTCACTGAATCACCCTTTACGCAGGTAATACCTACACACCGTGTCGCGTTTCTATTTAAGGAATTTGTCTTCGTAAAGATTTTCTAAGTTGATGGAATTTTAACATAAATGGGTGAATCACTTGTTTATTAACACTCGTAGAATAATTGCACGTAAAAAAACGAAATAAATAACTTTTTATGAGTATTTAAATAAACTTGAACTAATTCAGCGCAGGCGTTTTTCTTTCAAGGCTCATCTTATTATATTTCCACTAAAACAAATTTGATACTTTCCTCCATCTACCACCTACACCTTGTGGGTTCCTTGGAAGGTCGCAAATATGTTGTCGGTAACCCAGTCCTCATTTTATTTATTTTTTCTGAACGAAAACCTAAAAAGGAACTCATGGGTAACAAAAGTGGAAGATATTAAAAATATTGGTGTTTGAAATGGACTTGGAACGTGGTCGTGTATTAAGATAGCGTTTTATTTTATTTCTTTTTCATCGTCTACCTACTTATTTTTTCCGTCGTGATTCACTGGAGTTTAGATGTTTAGTATGAGACTCATATCCGAATAAACAAAGTTGTAAAATAGACGAATTTCCGTATCGACTTTTCCAAGTATTTTTATTCACTGCGACGAAAAGCCTTGTATGAGGTTGCTTCACATTGTCATTGCGTGTCTTGATGATGACATTGAAAAATTATGTGAACTGAATAGTTCCTTCAGGCAACAAAAGGAAAAAATTCTTGGAAGAGGTCGCCGGTTATCGACATATAAGGGAGATGCAAAAACACATCCTCTTATGTGGGCAGGACAGAAAGTTGCACTGGTCCACTTATTTGGGTGTAGGTGAATCGGGAAAATAGACTACGATTTAATCCGGAATGAAAAATGAGCGGATTAGGTTGGTCGTAAACCTAATAAAAACGTCGTGTGTGTTTTGGCCGTTTGGAGGAAGGCCAGACTCAAAGACAAAAAACAAGCGCTACTTGCATTGTTATTTTTATTATATTGTAAGCTAATTTTATTGCTAAGGCAATTTTTCTAATAGCATTATAATCGACTCACGTTTCTTTTTTCAAACAATGATAATGGGTGTTTACATGCAATTTGTCGTCAAATTGAAAAGCCGGAAGTTACATTGCGTCATTGTAAGAGGATGCCGATTAAATATTTATTAAAAAGTTGGAAAACTGAATTAGGCATTTCCCTAATTAATTGGGGCAAAAAATAAATGACACTGAAATTAAATTCGTCGCAAAAAGGATTTTTCATCTGGGCTACATTTGTTTCATCAAGGATGTATCACATCTGTTCTCAAATTTAACCACAAGTCAATGGCAATCAAATTATAATAAATTTTAACATCCGTTTTAAATTTAGAGTCGGTGTAAAAACACAATAATATGCATCTTGAACTTTTCAATAAATCCATTTGCTTCTAAGATATTAAATTACAAGGTTTTTAGACAGCAGTACTTAGAGATATAATTAATTTATTAGGTTTTTTTAATGTCAAGCCCCCGCAAAAGCTTTCATCTCGACGTATCGGAAGATGCCTAAATTGTTCTGCACAAGGTCATGGTTATTGGTAAACACACAGTGCAAAAAACCATTAGTTAGTAAATAAATACAAATGTACATTTTTGATACTTTAATGTTTGATTTTAACTACAAACGGCCTTAAATAAATCGAAATCAATAATGCATAAACGAAAAAATGCAAATAACACGTTTTTATTTGGTATTTCTATAAATATTTTAAACAAGCGCTGGCCTATTGGACAAGTTTTGATTAATTAGTAGAGAAGGCAATTAAATCACCACAAACTAATGACACATCTTGTATAAATACTGCAATAAGGAAAATGCACTTTTTTCCTTATATTTTTCATAATAGGTAGATTGTAGCAAATAGAAGTGTTTGTTTAGCAATTAGCCGTTTGGTAAATAAAATAATGAAAGTCTGTATGATTGTTATATCTTATCACCGCAGCACTTTTATCCACCTCTCAAGAGGTAGAATTGCAACTTTCCCCATTTTTGCATTCCCTGTTTTCTAGCGTTTCTAATATTCGATTGAATTATTCGTGGACAAATTTCCTTTTGCCAACAATGTGCTACTTTGTAATCAGATATTTATGAATTTTCTTTCCATGTCCTATCTCGCGTGAAGGTTGTGGAAAAACAATGTATTTTTCTATTTTTAGTTAATGAAATTAAAGTGTGAATAGAAATATAATGGTCATTGTTGTGCCCATGCTCTTATTAAATTTAATTTGTTGACACAAAGTAATTTATTATTGCGATTAAATTATCGAATGAAAAAGTAACCAGCTATTAGAACAACTCTCCAACTAGATCTATATAAACTAATTACGTGCAATTTTCAAGCAACACCATTACTTTGGTTGTCAATTAGGAGTAATGTAAACACGATAACAAACTGGTTTATGGAAACGAATGAAAAACTACAATAAATTACTTGTCTATTGTTGAATAATTGTTGAATAATCGATCCAGTGTCTAGGTCGAGAATCGCGCCTCTAGGTGTCTGAAGGCGTCTTCCCCACTTTATGGACACCAGTAATGCTGATGGGTTTCACGACATGACTAAAACTAAAGCAGTGTGTTTTTTCTCTTCACAGTGATCGGGTGTTTGAAGTACTACATTAATTTCTACTATTTTCTTCAATTATAGTAGTAGTAATAGTAGTTTTTCAAAGTGTTGAGTGAATTTTTTCAAGTTCTTACCACCGGTGGGAGAAAATCAAACAAGACGTTGTTTTTCAACAAGTAAGATTTTTCAAATATTTAACCCCTTGGAAATACATTTTTTACGCAATATATTAAATGCTAATAGATGGGACGTGTCGGAGTTACGTAATTTTGAAGATACACGAAGAGTGTGACTTGCAGTTCTACATAAAAATTTGATTCATTCTTGAAAAGCTCTTTGAGAATTAATAAGGACATTTTAGAATTGTAATGTGACATCATAACTAAAAGTGTGTAAATAGTTGTTAATACGCGCTGACCATATTTGGAGGAAGTAAAGAATTTCAGTAGCACGCAATAGACCTCGAGGATCAGTTTAGTATAGGTAAGAGTGGGTGTAATTTCTAAAATAATTTGATTTTTTAAAACACTAATGCTAATGTAAAATATTTGTTACACAAACCTTACCTTTACACGTTCAAATGTCTTAGAAGTTATATTTATGCAGGTATTTTGACCCTGGCTCTTTAATAGCTTTAAAAAAAGTTGAACTTATTATTCATAACCTTACATTGTCTTTATGATCCAATAAAAATAATTCATGTGAGGGAAATAGTAAATGAGACAACTTTTTCGCAGTGTTATTACTTGAATTTCCTACAAAAAAAATAATTGTAAAGTTTTTTATTTAACCCTCTGGTCTAATTGCCGATCCAATTTAGGAAATTGCAAGTAGGATGTATTTTGACGACGCCCACATTATTCATCTAATTGATAGCCAAATGGATTAAAATATGATTACTGCGGTTTATTACGTCAGTTAATTTATTTCGCGGTTGGCTTAAATGCGATTTCGATGTGACCCTTGCAAAATGTCGTTTCTAATAAATCTCGGCTTAAATTATGCAATTAGGCGATGTGAACTATGTAAAACCCACTATTTTAGACCAGATTGTTCTCATCCGTTATTATATTAAAATTTCATTAACCGTGTTAATTTTTAACAATCAGAATTCACATGCTAAAAATTTAATTAAACGAGTGGAGTTTCACTGGAATAAATCACCTGTGGAAGTTCCTGTGCAAAACAATAACAAAGAAATGACCATCACGCGATAACACTCAAAACTGAAATATTTCCTATGTAAATTTACTCATTTCGACGTAATCACACTTATGGTTTCTAAACCAAATATTGGTCAGATGAAAGCAGTAAAACGTAAACAAACAGGTATTTGTTTACACAGACCACGACATTATGTAAAATAGGTAGCTGGAAAATCGCATGATCGTTTTTCACACCGCTTTACATAAATTTGAAAATTATTTGCATTCTTGAAATAATGCAAATCAGATCAGGTAATGACATATCATTATGTATACTGATTTTTCTTTTTTTTTTGTAAGCGAATCAATTTCATTTTATACATAAAAAATTTGTTTGTGGTTCATAGAATTGAGCATTTTTTTTATTTAAAATAAAAATACACAAAAACATTAAATGATACAGTTTGGAAGGGAGAGTCATTAGAAATATGTTTTTAAGTAATGACTTTATAAAATAGTTTATAATAGGGGCTGAATCAAATTCTATCACTGCCCCATCTGCTGTTTTAATTTGAACTTTTTTGATTTATTTAATTTTTTTGTTTTATTTATTTATTTTTTTGAAATTTTTATACATTTTTATATTTTTTTAATTTTGTCACTTTCAAAATTAATTCAATTCAATATTATTATCTATTATCATATGTTTGTGAAAAATGTRTGATTGTAATAGTTTTTCTTTAACATATTTTATCAAATAATTAAATAATGTGAAAGTATGGAAAATGCAGATAGTTTTTGTATGCCGGGTAAATGGCAAACCAATTTCAGTTTCTACACCTATAATTTGTATTAATAATAAGAAATCTTTAATTGTTAGAATCCAAATTAAATTATTTTAGTTGGTGATTTTATTCATGATTTTTTTATTCTTTATTTAATATAAAAAAATACAGTTTTAAGAGTTTTCTTAAATGTTGTCTATAGACCAGTCACCCTGTATGTTATCTATTACTACAAATATTGTTACACTGTCATGTTAAAATGTGAATTATTTACATTTGCGCGATTTTATGGTTCTACGTAACAAAATTACTTTGGGCTCATTTATTATGTGCATAATTATGTGAAAGATAATACCATACAAGTAGTATGTTTTAAAAGAATCGGAGCCAGTCGCTTTTAATTAGTATATTTTCCAAAACTGGAGGTTCCTAAGTATGTCGTTATTATGTAATACGAATTAATTAATTCATAATAAAAATTTTGTTATTATGGCGTTGTTTTTTTTTTACAGATGGTTTCATGGGCATCTGTCCGGGAAGGAAGCAGAAAAATTAATTTTAGAGCGAGGTAAAAATGGAAGCTTTTTAGTGAGAGAAAGTCAATCGAAGCCTGGAGATTTTGTTCTTTCTGTTCGAACCGACGATAAAATGACTCATGTAATGATTAGATATTCCGTAAGTGATTTCAAGTGTTTAATGTTAGATTTCTTAACTTTTTACTTTAGGATAACCAATATGATGTTGGTGGTGGAGAGAAATTCGATAGTTTGGCTGAACTAATCGAGTATTACAAAAAGAATCCGATGGTTGAAACTTCAGGAACAGTCGTCCACCTAAAACAGCCTTTTAATGCAACTAGAATCAGCGCGTCGGGGATACACTCGCGAGTCAAACAGCTGCAAAACGAAAACGGACCTAATGGTATGGGCAAAGCTGGGTTTTGGGAGGAATTCGAATCGTTGCAACAGCAGGAGTTCAAACATTTGTATTCTCGGAAAGAGGGAGTTAAACCGGAGAATAGGAACAAAAATAGRTACAAGAACATATTGCCTTGTAAGTGTGTTAAAACTGAAAAGTRCAAATTATTAATGAAGTAATTTTAGTTGACGATACACGAGTTAAATTGAAAGACGCTGATCCCAACGTCCCCGGTTCTGATTACATCAACGCAAATTATATTAAGTGGAAAGCTGATTATTGCGGAGGGAACGAATTAGGTAGCGATCCGAGCGGAAAAGTGTACATTGCAACCCAAGGCTGTTTACCTTCCACGATCGCCGATTTTTGGCAAATGGTGTGGCAGGAGAACTGTAGAGTTATAGTAATGACAACCAAAGAGACTGAACGAGGCAAAACGAAGTGTGCCAGGTATTGGCCGGATCAGGGAACAAAAGATTACAGAAAAATCAAAGTGAAGATATTGATGGAGTCGTCGACTCCGCATTACACCCTTAGAGAGTTTCTAGTTAGCATGGATGGAACGAATTGTGAGAGAAAAGTTTACCAGTACCATTTTCAGGTACGTTGATGACGATTTGTGGGGGAGTTTGGGAGTAATTGGGGTGTTTCAGGCATGGCCGGATCATGGCGTGCCTTCAGACCCAGGCTGTGTTTTAAATTTTTTGCATGAGGTTAATAAGAGACAGGAAAGCCTTCAGCAAGAGCTTCCAGATAATCCCCCAGGTGCTATTCTAGTGCATTGTTCTGCTGGTATTGGAAGGACTGGCACTTTTATTGTTATTGATATGATTTTGGACCAGCTTAAAAAATACGGTATTTTGTAAGTCAAACATTTTAGAAAATTTGGCTCACGTGGGGCTGTTACAGGTTTAGACTGTGAAATAGATATACAACGCACAATTCAAATGGTTAGGTCCCAACGTTCTGGGATGGTACAGACTGAAGCCCAATATAAATTTGTTTATTTAGCAGTACAACATCATATAGAGACAACCACTGAAAGAATGAAGGCTGAACAAGTAAGTCATGAAACTATTTATAAAATAAAAATTATTGTTTAATTGGTTGAATTGTTTTGTAGAAATCTATGCAAATAGGTCGGGAGTACACAAACATTAAGTATAGCAGCGACATAGGCAGCACGTTATCCTCGTCGGCGACGAGCGGTTTGGGGAGTACAACCTCACTGTCTAGCAGGTCTTCCACTTTGGCCCACTTCCCGGTCTCATCTCCCAATTCTGTGATTTTAAGAGGCGAAACAAAGAAGCCACCTCGAGCTGTGTCAGATATTCCATTGCCCAGGTAATAGAGCTGTCTTATGAATCGTTTTGCAGTTGTTTTTGGAAAGGTGGTGTTGTTTCCAGGCTCATTTTAGATGTTGAGTGTCATGTGTAGTATAGTAGAACCGTATTAATTGACGACTTTGTTCGACGGTGGCGCCGCGCCGGTTCRCAAAATTTGTAAGTGTAAACTGTTTCACTGGCAAAATTTCARTGTTTTTCGCTCATAATAATCAAAGTCGTCATTTAACCTTACATGTGTGCTAACTCGTATTGTAACAATTTGTATAGGTGGGTAGTGAGATTGTGTTTTGTTGCAGGCCGCCTGATGATTTGGTCAAGCCTACTGTGTATGAGAACATTCCTGTCAGCGAACGAAAACATTCAGGGACGTCGAGCTCTTTGAATTGTCCTGTGCCGCCGCCACGGAAGGCGACGTGACATAAACGAACTTTTAATTCCAAATTTACTTCATGTACCTTCTCAGTGTGCTAGGAAAATTATCAAGTCAAATTATTTACTAAAAGATGCATTGTTCAAGAGCCTAGTTGATGTATCATTGTTAAGAAAATGCCAGTATTTACAACCTTGAAGAGATCGTTAGTGTTACTTGCCCACCGAAGTACCCTTTAAGTAACACAGTCCCAAATCGGATAAAATTATTTTTAGAGCACAATTGTATATATTCAATATAATTATACCACCATACGTATGTTTATCTTGAATATCTTGGATTAACACACGTATTTTTAATTTGTAATTATTGCCATTGATTTGATTTTGTTATGCTTTGTCGCCTAAAATGCTAAAAAAAATTCCAGTAGATTTTAATAGTAAGTATTTTAGGCATGTGCTTTTTATTTTATTTCCAAAGATCTGAAAAGAGAGTTTAAACTTAGTTGGCAAGTCACTTGGTGATTTTTCGTGATTAATTTTAATTTTAAGTAAATTTGTGTATTTTTATATTTTTGCTAAATTATTTATATTCAAAGCACACTTAGTGATATAACACCTCGTTAATACAGGTGGGGTGCTATTTATGTTTATTTTTACCACCTGTATTAAATACAGATTCGACAATATATCTTATATTTAAATAGATATTTGCATAAAATATTTTAAAAACAGTTTTTTTTATCTGTTTTACAACAAACTAGTGCTATGTTTTGCTTTTTCTGTTATCATAAGAATTATACCGTTTTAGTCAGATTAAAGGTTTTGTCAACTTTCTGTCGTCTACAATATATGTTTAGAAAGTTTTTGCTCTATTGCTTTCAAAACAGGACCTTTCATTCAACACTCCCTAACCACTTTCCCCACCAAATTGCGTATACTGAGTTAATTTTAGTTACAACGGAAAAATTAACTTTCTCAGCAATAATAACAATAAGAGAAAAGACAAAAAAGTTACATTCTTTGTTACATATAAATATTTTTTCAAAAATGAGTATGTCACACGGAAGTAAAATGGTATGGCAATTACCATGAAAAAAATACACATAGAAACGTTCGTACTGTCTTGAATCAGTTAGAAAACTTTTAATTTTATTATTATATTATATCCTATCTTTATTATTGGCCTTGAGTAATATTCACGTTTCATATTTCTTTAATGCGTTTAATAATTTTTAAATTATTCGCTTATTTTTGTATTAACAAAAAAATATTTTTTACTTTTGAAGCAAACTTGCGTCATTGGAAAATTGTGTTTTGCGCTTTGTGAAAAACATTATTATATAATTACATGTTTACACTCTATAATTCGATCCCAGTTTGTTACAGAATTTATTCCAAAAAAACCTGCAATTTTACTAATATGGTATTGACAGTCATAAAAATTAAAACCGATCTTATGTTTTTTTTTAATATTTTCGAAAATCGATCATCTTTGTAATTTTAACATTAATTCAATTTTTTTAAACTCGTAAATGAACAAGAACAGATGTATTATGACTATGAAAATATATTTATTTGGTCTCTATTGTACAAAATTTAATTACAAATTGTGCCTCAGGGATTGTCATTTCTATACCTTCTTAAATTAACGTACTTCTACATTATTATTATACCTATACAAACTTAATACATAAAAATCGATTTATTTCATAAATAAAAATATTCCGAATTGTTTTTTAAGATATGTTGGAAGTTGGAAAGTTATTCTACTGGTTCTTTGGCTAAATTTTATCTGTTCCTAATTGCTATCACTGTTGTGTTCCTCTTCACTAATTTTTTGGGCTTTTACCGCTTCGTCAATCTTCGCCCGGAATATTTTTCTTATTTCGGCAATTGGTTTAAGTAGAATTATAGGTACATGGTCATCCCTTCGCTAAAATTAAAATGTCAATATCGTTCGATTTCATTAAAGTGCAACTAGCATTACCTGAAACAGAACTTCCCCTTCAAAATCGACGAGTTTATGCTTTCTCGCTCGAAGTAAAATTCCTACCAAATTGTTTGATATGACGGTGTATAGCTGAAATTAAATATTAAAAACAGGTTTAGTTTCAGGGATTTACTAACCGAAAAAAGTTCCCCAAAACTGATAACTATTCTGGGATCATCCGGTTTTTCCTCGGGGGTAAACAAAGGTTCCCCTTGTTCGTGGATAATTTCACAAAGCTCTAAAATCTCTCTGCAAACTTGTGCTGTCGCTTTAAACCCTCTGGCTTCAGACAGAGATCCTCTGGCGGGTCTACAATCACAATAATTAAAAAAAAACTAACATAAAATGAAATTATTTACCGTCCATATTCCTCTTTGGAAATTTTCGGTCTGGGTAAACCCCCAGCTTTGCAATCGTTTGAAAATGGGTTCACTGCTTGACTTTGGATATGTTTGTTAGCCACAGCATTGAATAGGGCGACTTTCGAGCTCAGGGGTGAGTCCTGAAATATATCAAGTTTGGATTTAGTTGCACATAAATCTTTCTACCATTTCTCATGTAAGCAGATTTGGTCATGACCTCTTGATGCAATTCAACAATGAATTTGGAGTATTTTTAGAGAATGTATATTTTGCGTTTTTGGCGGATGTTTCACTGGATGACCGCCAAACTATTTAATGTTTTTTGTACCGGGCGTCAGAGTTACGTCATTTTTGAGATGATCTATGGCTTTCACTTCTGCAAATTTGTTTCGCTTCGGTGATTATTTGCATTTTTACCTCCAATTTACATACAAAAATTTAAAAAACATACCTACTTATTATTTTAAGTTTAACATAAAAAATTGGAATAGAAAGGAACAAAATTAAAATAAACTAAAAAATAATAAAAAAAGTAAAATAACAATTAACAAATTAAATATAAAATTTAAACAATAGATAAAATAATAATATTTCAATGATATTTAAAAAATATTTGCTTTATGTTATTTATGTTCTGAGTATTAACTTATTTTAACAATAAAATACCCCAATGCCTTGCAAAGAATACTTACAAATGCTGCAGTTTTAACACAAGCAGACATTTTCAAATTTCGTAAAATACGACCACTAAGTTCACTCAATTCAGTCCCTTTTTTCGCAAAGTGACAATAAACTTCACAAGTAATTTACTCGATGTGCCTTTTGAGATTCTTGCGAATAAAGTAGCAAATATTTGGGAGAGCGACGCTTATTATACTACCGTAGGAATGTGTGCAAATATATAGATAAACGACCGACGCTCGGCGTCGCAGGATAATACGTCATAGAATGAGCGATATTTCAAATTTTCGCCTAACAAACTTATTCACTCTAAAAATATTTTTCCAATTGTTTCTTTTCTATGAAATCTGAACATATGTTCATTGAATTTTCTTATCGACTTTTGATAAGGGTTTTATGAAAGTTTTTCAGTAGTGGACTTGCCTAGAGAATATTATTTTCAACTTACCAGTTTTGAAATTCTTTCAATTTGGGGGTACATTTCGGTGATTTTTGGATGAAAATGTGATGTTGACAAAAATTTGACACTTTTTGAAGGTGACACTGACAGGTCTTTACATAATCATTTGGCATTTTTTCAATTTTAAGAGATGCACCCCAGATCAATTAATTAATAAGTTAATTTCAATTTTGTATTTCCTGTTTTTCAAAATTTTATTTATTTTGGCATTACGATTGGGTAAAAATTGAAATCGGTTATATTTTTCACATTTTTTGAAACTCTAAATTGAGATGTTTGCACCAATTTAATGGTGAAATATAAATCTTTCAATTCTTGATACAAATTTCATTCAAAAAATTTTACGTCAAATTTTTTCGTCGCGTCTTAAAATTTTTATTATTTACAGTAATCCGAATTGGCTGGCGCCTTGTAATTTATTTTTTCGACAGATAAATGGCGCTAACATGCTTCCACGTGTTTGATATCACATATTGAAACGATGAAAAATTTGTTGTTAAATTTTTGTTACAAGGGAATGAGTTAATGGCTTTTTTTACGGTTGCTCCTACGAGCCTCTAGTCTAAAAATAGGGAAATGACAGGACAGGGAAAAGTACCATTCATCAAGGATAATGCGTAAATTAATTTGAAACTAATTGCATTGTCAATGGTCATCTTGAAGGATGAGCATTTTCTATTTATTTCTAGAAGGGGTAAATAGTAAGTGATTTCATTCACACTTCTTGCTGATGTAAGCATTGCATGAATCACATTATTAAAGTAAGTAACATTGTTCGCCAAAATGTGTGCTAAAATTACCAGAAACAGTTCATTGAGTAGAAAGTCACAAACAATTGCAATACTAATTTCTCCGATTTTTAAAAAATTGTTAAAAATAAAACCAGATTTAATGTGGTTGTCGACATAAAAATGTCGCTTTGTTATGGCCACATAACACGCATTTTTTGTTTTTTTTTGTGTTTAACTTGACCTATTTTATTATTTACACAAACCTTCTTGAACCGTTTCAAATCCTTTCTTATCAAGGAAGCATTGCCGACGTCCTGGCCTCGGGGAATTTTTATCCAAATTTAAAAATAGTATTTGGCAGTGAAGGAATTTTAATTGATACAAAATATATGTTCCAGTGCATGTTTCATAAATGTGAGCTTTTTATTTACAAATTAATGAGATGGCCTCGGGAAATTTTAAAAAATTAAACGGAGAGATGTATATTAGTCATCACTAGAGTCACTACGTATAAGCTTTAATGGTTCATGTAGTAAATTCGTAAACAATTCTTCATTGACGTTCGGATTAAAATAAACACAGGAAATCTAATTTAAGCTCATTCGGAGTCGCGGATTTCCTCAAAAGGATACGCTTATTTAGTAAAATACAACTAATAAGGAAAAGTAATGGATCATTAAAAAAATAAGAATATGTATTTTATTCTAAATGGGAGCTTTTTTAAACAAGTAGAAGAAAACACATTGGACTAGCGCTAGAGGTTTTTTCGAAGATTTAATTTCATTAATTAAAAATATATGTTAAAGTTGAAGTTTAATTTATGATGTTTTACTAAAAAGATTTCTAAAATTGAAACCTGCTGTTTATGCTTTATAGATTGGTTTCAAAGATTTTTAATTTTTTTAGTGTAAAACATAGGGGTGACTAAATGATTGCGATTTTTTAATTCAACTGCTGATTTAGCCGTCACTTGAAACATAAAAAATTAGAAGCATTATCAATGTTGCCATAATAGATTTTTTTGTCACAATTATTAATAGTCACCCGGTAATTATTAGAAATAAAAATATAAAGGAGAAATGTTAAATCTGCAATAAAACAATGCTATAATAAGCGAATTATTCGAAATTCACACAATTTAAAATTTGAATAAAACAGCCTTATCTAATAAATAATAAAAAAATTTAAAAAATTTAAAAAATTGTTGAACTAAAACAGTTTTACAACAATAAGACAAATGATGAAAT